CAGATGAAAAGAGACATCAAACAACCAATCTTACTAATCTACTTGAAGGAGACGATCTACAGTCTTCAGATCTTCAGAAATCATTGAAATCGGAGAAGAAACACCTCCAAAATCATATTTTCATCTTCTGGTACCTTTGGAATCGCCAACTTAGGTTACTGGAATGCTATCAGGGTCTATTTATACGTCCATCGGCAAAAACAGCGCACATGCGATCACATGTGCACAACCTGCAGTCGCGGGTTTTGAAGAAAACACGTCTCATGCCTTTTTAATGAAGTAGGATGCTATTTTGACAATTTTTGGCCAACCTGTGATCACATGTACACAACCTACGATCGCACGTATTGAGTTTTCACTCACGGATGAATTTTGGGCACAAAAGAACCTCGAAGACAAGTTGCGACCCAACCTACGATCGCAAAAAGGCCCCATGATATCGCATGAAGGAAACCTGCGATCGCATGTTGTGCCTAAGACGTCTGAAATTTCGTCTACTTTTCAGATCATTTTAAATCGCGTCAATCAGAGTTACGGTTATTGAGATATGGTCAAAATGCTGACAGGGGGTCAAAGCTGCCATCAACATCCTTTAACTTTAGATTGCATATTCTATCTTCGTGTGTTCAATTCGATCGAATGTTTCTTGACCAAAGCATCTTTCAATCATTCCACAACATACTCCATAAGTTCCAAGCTCCATTTTAAGCTCCAAACGCGCATCCAACTGCTCCCAAAGCACTGCTCCACTCAAACTATCTGAAATTGACATAAACACATGAGCAGTACGGGAATTCTAACAAAAGGCACGAGCTGAACATTATTTATCTAAATGACATGAAAATATGCAAAATATGATGCTAAAATGATGACAAAAACTACCCTATAAGATGCATAAAATGACATCTAACAATGATCAAAACCGAAACATATTTTATAGATCTATAAGCAAATAATGCTACTAAATAACAATAAATTTTATTAAGTCAAGAATCGGCAAATATGAAGGGGAAATTAATGAAGACAAAACAAAATACAAATGAGCTATATATTGATTGGAAAGTATTCATTAAAAACCTTCTGAATTTGCTAAAATACAATGTAAGTTAAGATAAATCAAAACCTAAATTCAGCTGGGTATGAGAATATAATAGAAAAAAAATCATACGTTTGACACTTATAATGCAAGTTTTGATATACCTAACATATCATTAAGACAAAATTGTAAACTTGGTTCTTATTGTTTGCACTTTTATTTGGATTGTGTCGAAAAACTTTTCAACCTGTAGATTGCGTCCTTATTCTTTTATTGTGGATTTGTTCCATCCACTTAATACCCATTAGACAAAGTTTGTTAACCTCCTCACATGCCCTCCACATGAGGGTATTTCAATCATTTCAAGTAGGTATCTATGGTTTGTAATAACTGTTGTATAAAATTTGAACAAACATCAACTTCATCCCCAATATCTCTATTTCCCCCTTATATTCCCATTCTTTGGTGGAGCTCATACGTAATTGACATCTTGGACGAACATAAAACCATGGGTGTTGTTTTGTTCTTGCCCTAACCCTAAACACCCTAAACATTATGTAATTGTTTTTTAGTGGTGATAACAATTAATGGTGATGACCAAATTCTCATTATTTTTGATATTGAAGGTATCAAGATGTAATTTTTTTTGGGTGGATATACCACCAATGTATGCAAGGTTACAGTTAATGTTCAACAAAACTAGCTGGTAGCTGGTAGTAGTTAGTGGGTAGCTGGTAGCAGGTAATGTTTGATTTTGAAGAGTTTTGTTGAAAGCTTCTCCATTTAGTTTTTCATTTTGGAGCGTTTTGTTCAAGCTAAAAGTTAAACGGTCCTGTCACCGAACGAAACTTTTTTTATGAGTGTTTTTTTCTAAAAGTTAGAAGCCAGAAGTTCTTAAATGCTATGATCCGAACACACCCAAGGTTAATCTTCGCAAGGCTAGAAACATTAACATAGTTCAAGAACTTAACATATTGATGAATGAAACTAGAAAATTGAAGATGAGGCTATTTTGTAGTTGAATTTTCTTCTTGGTGATTAGTGTATGTTATTTTTAGTTGTAAGGTGTTGGGTTATGGGGTTTAGATGGGCTTTTATTTTTGTTTTTGTTTTTGTTTTGTTTCTTGCTTTTTTGATATGGTTGGGTATGCTAGTTTGTAGTTGGAATGTGTTTGGTTATGGGGTTAGATATGGTTTTTGGTTGTTATGGAGTTCTAGATGGGATATATGTTGTTATGTTTTGGTGTCTTGTATGAATTCAATGGTAACTTCCACCTATTGGCTGATTAGCATATGGTAATAACATGTTTTGTTTTGGATATTATTCTCTTAAGGGTTGCTAGGTTTGTTGTTTCGTGGTTTTTCAACCTTTTCATCGACTAGTTCCTAAATAATTACCCTTTTAGATGGTTTGGGAGACATGAAATAAGTAACCAAATTTGTAGACTTGTGTTTAATGTACACCTTTATGACATTGTTATCTATGATATATCAAGCTAGATTGAGGACATCATCATCATTCCCTAAAGCCCTTAGTTCAAAGTTCATTCCTTCACATGACATTTTTAAAATAATAGTATATCATGGGCTACTATGTAGTCTAGTTGACAAATCATTATGTCCTTCTCATGGACATAAAACTCATCAATATCAACACAATCGATGAACATAGCCTCACTATCAATATATTTAATGTTTGGAAATGTAGTGAACTTCCCACCATAATGAATTTCTATGGAAAATAGAATAATATCTTCAACATAAAACACAAAAGCATTAAATATAAGTTAGTAAATTTGATCTTTATATTCGATTAAAAAGGGTTTTCATGTACTTAATGGACATATATGAACTTACCATATTTGATTGTGAGGTCGTAGTTTTAACCTAATGGATGAATCTTCCACACCATTGTTGTTCAACTATGATCTTGCTCTCTATTATGATTCTCTAGAGTAAATGAATGGGATTGAAGAAGATTGCAATCCAAAGGGAAAGAGAAACATTGTGAATGATTACAAACATAGGTACTACTTCAACATTATGACAACAAAGGGGTGAGGGGGCTTCATGACATTAGAAATGATTGAAATACCCTCACATGGAGGAAATGTGAAGAGGTTAACAAACCTTAGCTAACGGTCATAAGTGATGGACCAAATCCACAATGAAAGTCATGCATAGGGACGCAATATTTAAGTTAGAAAGTTTTTGGACCCAATTAAAAACATTACAAATCATATGGACCAAATTGAAAACTTTGTATGTTATTAACGTAATAGGTAGGACAGAGTTTTTGACCAGTAAGGTATTTTTGAAAAAAATAATAATTACCTAATAGGTATAGTTTTCAACATATTTACCAAAATGGGTGATTTAGCCATTTAATTAAAAAAAACCTATCGTGCCCTAAAACTCTCTTACCTAACGATGTTGAAAAATGGGAAGGTACTGACAGGAACGCGCCTGATCTTTGGCTGCACCTCCATCTACGGCCACTGCTCCAGCCGACCACTCCACCTCCAGCTACACCATATGGAGGCGATGCCGGCGAGTCAACCTTTAGCCACACCAATGTCGGCGTTCCACCTTCAGGGTTGTATTTCTGATTTTAGGTTCGATTTTTTGCTTTTCAGGTTCGATTTATGAAGTTTATATGTATTCGGACTTGATTAGGTTTATTGAATACGAATTTTGGAACTTTTATCTTCAATCCATACAAATTTCTGATTATAATGGATTTCTAAATACAAAACTCTGATCGGGTTAGTTACTTAATCTTTAACTTCGTTTTTTTTGCTAGGATCATGAAAATGTGCTTTGAATGGCCTTCTGGAGTCGAAGAACAACCTTGGAATACTTCTTATTGCTAAAATTTGCATTTTTTTAACCAAAATTGACATTATTTTTTTATGCTAAAATTAGGTCATGAGAATGTGCCTTCCATATAAAAAGAAAATTAAACTGGGGTTGTTTAAAATTTAGTTTGGTTCACGTATTGTTGAAACAATTTGATAACTGAGGATTTGAATGAGTAGTGGAAATACTCCGGAGTCTATTATGATGTTTTTTTGTTTCGGCGAGGCTGCTGATAGCAAAAGAAGAAAAGATGCAATCACTTTGGTTCAATGGTTGTAGGGATTCGTTATGGATCACAATGGTCTTTGATGACTACAATCACTTCTGAAATCTTTGGGTTGAAGGAAATGGGAACTAACGTGATTGTTGCAACTAATCACGTTGGATCATATATATTTTATGTGTGAATGATTGGAATGTCTTGAGGTTATATGATGAATGCATTATAGTATTGTACAAGTGTTTTGAGTGTTTGTACAATTGTTTATAGCTTCGTATCAAGTGCAAAATATATATAAAATGTATTTGAGTTTTGTGATTTATAGTAAAAAGAAGGTAATAAAAAAATGTCATTATTTGTTCTTCATTTTTGGAAATCTATATGGATTTTGAACTTTTAACATAGACCATTTATTTGTTGTAACTTGTATGTCTATATATATTCCGATAAAAAACATGGTAGAATGGTGGTTATAAAGATAAAAAAACATGGTAAAATGGTGGTTATAATTATACGAGACGAGATGTAAATGTTAAGAATATTAGTGTTTGAAAGAATAATTGATAATCAATAATAGCAAAACGATTTAAAAAAGCTTTGAAATTATATGTATTAAAATAAAACAGTATAAACTAAATAATTAAAAATATATAAAATTTAAAAATATACCTATTTGGTGAATATTATTGAAATTATGCCGTTTTAGTAAATAAAATTAAAAAAAAAAAATATTTTAATCAAAAACTCAGGTGGGACATGGGGCAAGTTCGGTATGGCCCACACAAATCATGTGCTTTAAAATCAAAATAAATGCTATTTAATTATTAATTTAATTTTAAAGCTTAAAAACAAATCATTGTTTGACTGAATAGTCAATAGTGAGAACTCAATATACATGTGGAGATTTTGCCAGAAGAAGTGAAAAACACAAAACCCACCGCTACGGCCACATTTAGAAGCATATGAATCTCCCGCGTCTGCTCGATTGAGCCCTAGAAAAACATCGATCACGACTGATTCTCTCCTTTTCTATGGATTCCCCCGGCGACTGTCCGGGAGGTTCAATCCGATAACCGTCGTTTTCTTTCAAATGGAAGCTAATCCCATACAGGTTCGCTCTTGATCATTTTGTAGTCTCTCAATTTCGTCGATGTGGCTGTTTATGTACTCCTTTTCTGGTATCTTAAGATTTCTTGATGTTGTTGGTCGAATCGTAGTCTAGGGTGTGTCCCTGTGTAGTTTTGCTTGGTTTTCAGTTAATTAGGAGGATACGATCGGACTCTATAAGATCCGATTAATGGATGTTAGCTCATTTGGTTAAGCGATTATAGAAATTAGAGGTGATGTTACTACTAGGCACTAGCTTACCTTAGCCGGATTTCAATTTAGGACATCTGTTTTAATAAAATGCTCCAAATTGTCCCTAGTGGCTGAAAATGTGCATGGGATCTATCTTTGCGGTGCTCAATCTGTTTCAAACAGAGAGGCGACTCTTATTTTCAGCTCATTAGAGATGAAACATGTATTCTTTTTTGGTCCTTCTTGAAAAAGGATATACATTTCTTTATTGCATTGAAAATTGCCTAGAGTTGTCTTATCTAACAACACTTGCATTATCCAAGGTAATGTAGTTGGATTCTTATAGAGTACGCATGCAATGTCTTACGTTTAAATAGCTTATGGAGATAGGAAGTCAGATGTCTATTGGTCTGTGTTTATTTGTTGTCTTGTTGATATAACAAATGTAGGGGTGAGCTCCGAAACAGCTGTACGTTTCTCATTTGTGACAAGAACATCAAGGTTATGAGTTGGGGATACAATCTTTTTATAAAACATGCAATATCGATGGAAGAGAAGTATGTCCATTATGGAAGAAGATTTAGGCAAGATGTTGACGTCTTTAGGAATCAACAAATCTAGATCTACTTCCATTTTTTTCCCTAAAATTCCTCAACTACTAGATTCTCAGTCAAATCCTCTTTAATTGTGCTATTTAACCCATTTCTGCAGTCTCATATGTTTTGCATTGCCATGTTCTTCTATTTGAGGATCATCAAAATAAGCAACAATACTATCTATACAGACAGTTTCTACGGAGTTCATTGCAATAGAGATGCGTAGAGATATTTATATCAAGGCTTTCAAGAAGATCATATTCTTTATATCGTTTTAGATTATGACAATCATACTCGTACCTAAAATAATATCGTTACTTACGTGCACGTGCAATAAAACATGCAAATTTCGTTTCGAGTGCTTTCTTAATTATTACTATAAGCGCTTCTAAATAGACCTATGATTTAAGACGCATACCTTCTTTTTCTCTAAAATCCCATGAAAGTTGGCTTGGAAAAAAAACTCATAAAGTTTGTATTATTTTGTAACAGAAACCCTTGAAGAGGGCATTAAGAAGCTGCAGAAGACAACACAAATCCGAACATGTGACCAAAAAGAAAAAATCGTTGGACGGTTTTGCCCTTCTTCCCGATGACGTCCTTCTAGAGATTTTCCAAAAACTTCCACCCGATTTACTCCGATACAAGGTTAAATTCGTCTGTAGAAGATGGTTCACCATAATCACCAACAACATCTTGTTAGACCATGCTTCCCTAATCCTACAAAGGTCAACGGGAAGCAACACAATTCGTCTGATGGATATAAGGGAAGAAGAACAAGGCCTAAAAATGAAACAAGAATTTATTAACATGCCATGTTATGGTTGTATAAAATCTTGGTGTAATGAGTACCTTCTAATAACCGACTCAATTAGAATCGGAATTCTTTACCTTTTCAACCTAATCACCAAACAAGGATCATTTATTTCACCACTACCTTCCGTATCATGTGGAGGACATTACAATGGCAAATGTGGACTCGGCATTTCGTACGATCCATTCAAAAAATTATACAAAGTCGTCCATGTGTACAATGGCCCACCAATCCAATGCGAGATTCTCGTGTTAGAAAGTAATATCCCAAGTAACGAATGGATAATTTGGAAAAAAGTCAATGGGACTTCGCATACGGGTGAACGACAGTATTATTGGGAAAACCCGGTTTCGGTTCAAGGGAGGTATTTTCATTGGGATGTTCATAGCGATAAATACTTGGTTTCTATGGATACAGTTAAAGAGAGATTTCGTCAAACTTTCTTACCTGGATCGGGATCGGATGTTTATCGTATGGATAATCGGTATTCTTTGGTTGAAATGGGTGGTTTGCTTTCTCTTCTTCATAAAGTCTCGTTTGACCGAGTCAACGTATGGATACTTAAAAATTTTCAAAGGACCAAATGGGAGAAGTTTCATTCGATATGTATATTGGGTTATGTGTGCTTGAGGGTTTTCCCTGGGAGTGTTGTTTCTTTTCCTGTGACTAGTGTGAAAAGTAAGAGATATATTATTTTTAGGAAACCCGGATCTAATACGGGTTTATATAGTTATGATCTGAAAAAAAAAACCATGAAAAGACTAGAGATTGATATCGCGGATAATGAACGTTGTGTGGTTCAGTCAACAACATCAAGTTTTTGGTGAGTCTTTTATTTTTATTTATTTATTTACTTTTTCAGATGTAGTCGGGTTTGCACTGGAATGAACTGTTATTTTGTTTTGATTTAATTTTTGTACTTGTGATGTTTAGGAAAACATAAATTTTGTTGCGGTGGAAATCGATGTCTCTGCTGTGAAGGCTGGAGTTGTTGTGAAGAGGGCTTTTGAGGATCGAGGTCCATTGTGCCATATGATCTGTTTACTTTGATTTAATGTATTTACCTTATATTTCATCAACTAATGGGTTATAATAACAATTCATTTCGTTGGATTATTAGTCATTACTGGGATTCAAAGGTTTTAAGATTATGATTTTAGTTTTATGTTTTGCAAGATTGTGATCGAATGATTGGATCATGGTTAGAGATCCTAATAAAATGAACTTGTCTTTAAGTTTTCTCGCAAGGTCTTGTTTTTGCGCTATCTTTGTAATTTTATGTTGATTGAGACATGTCGCTGGAATTAACTTTTAAGATTTTAAGCAGCAACCATAATTCTTATAGATGCAAACCACAAAAAATTAGGAAGAAAAAAATTTATGCTAAAAAAGAAACAAGACTGTTTGATTGTCACAGTGCGACTTTATGAAGTTGTGATGCAATACGAGATGAACTTGTGTGAGGGTAGAAATGCATTATCAGTTGATTAGAAAAGTTCAAGGATTTTTTTGCTTTTGTTTTTAAAATTGAATATTTATTAGATTTTCATTTACAAAACCTGCATTAAAGACGATTTTATTCATAGTTTTTGGGTTCTGATTTTGTGGTTAATGATTGTATTTAATTATTGTCGATTAAAGAATTTTGTCAACCTGTTTGTTAAATCTTTCTCTCGGTTTAAATATTACTTCATATGTTGCACCTCTATTTCTTTCTTGCATTCTTTTACTTCTTCATCCACTCCTACACATTCACCCAAAACCGCTCTTATCCACACCTACACCTATACCCAACCCCATCAATCCACTCATTCCATACTGCCTACCCATTCCATATTGATATTTTGAATTTCATACATAAATTAACTATTCCAGAATTTTAATAACAAGCTTGAAATCTGATGAATAATTTTGGAATTTGGAGAAAATTATTCATTTTACACCATGCATTTTCTTAGGGTGTCCATCTCAACATCGTGACTTCCGGTGTCTAAACTTTGCCACAACCAAAATCATCATCTCTAAACATGTTGTCTAATTTGTTGAGAGTATTTTCCATATTGTTCCAAGACACCACACCAATCTCCTTCCTATGAGATGGTAGTTACCACTCACCAATCTCTCATCATAATGAAAATGCTTTGTAAACATAAGGACTTGATTCTTTGCCTAGGAGTTTTTAACTAAATATATGTTTTTGAAAAACTTATTTATCCAACAGATATATTTTTAACTTATTTATCAAACGAGTTATTTAACAAGTTAATAAAAAAAAGTTCTCTATCATTTCATATTCTCTTTTCACAAACAAAGTTGCACTTGTCTTCTTAATTTCAGTTTAGAAAGAATTTTCATCGTCGTGACGTTGTCCTCTTAATTTAATATGTAAGGCTTGCATATGTAATTTTGAATGTTGTCCTCTTAATTTCAGTTTAAAAAAAAAAAATAAAACAAAATAATTTTTTTAGTATATATAATTTGATTTGGAGGGTACTATGCTTAAATATACAATTCTAAAAGAACAAAACTAAAACATGTAAATAATAAGAGAATTTCTTTTGCAAATTTGGAAGTGCATGATCTTAAATTTCATTGTCTCATCTGCTAAATCAAAAGCTCCGATTAACCGTTTTTTTGAATCAATCGTAAAACTGAAATCAGGAGCCTACGGAAAGAAAAGAAAGGAAAGGAAAATATTGAGAGAAAAGAATGGGAGGGGAAGAAAATGATTAACTTTTTTTTCATGTTTCCGAGTTCGAAGGAAAAGAAAGAAATTAAAAAAAATGTGTTCCTGAGTTGGAAGAAAAAGAAAAGAAAAAAAAAACATTACAATTTTACCCTTATTTTTTTTAGCAATCATATTGTATGCGTAGTTCTAATTGGAAAAGAATGTTGATCCACATGTCATCTTCACGTCTTCACATTCGTTTACACACAGTCACATACACACATATTTAATCAAATACCACCAACATATAATATTCAATTAAAATATCGATGGATAGCAAACATAAATAATACTAAAATGAAAATACTTGTGACTCTCTTACTAGCATTTGTCTAACTAAAAAGGAACCAAAGTTTAAAAAATATCCAAAACAATGCAATTTAATCTTACTGAGACTCTAAAAACCAAAATTCAATTCCTGAAGCCAAAAATAAGTCAACCATAGAAACTCGTTATGTTTTTTTTGGCAGCATCTATGTACAAATCCTAAAAGTGAAACTAGTTTAGGAGAAATCCTATTGAGTCAAGATAGGAAGAAATCTGCAGAATGTAGTAGTGAGAAAGATAAGAATAAATGGCATTACCTGAATCATTGTGTTGACTTGAGCATGATTCTCTAATTGTAGAAGGGCAAAAAGGTCAAAAACATGGCAGATGAAAACATCAAACAGTAACAGTGAAAATTTTAGAATGTTTAATGTATGAAGCATTACCTATAGTTAAAATTAAAAGAATTGTTTAAAAACTTGGCTGATGAAAACATCAAAAGTGTTTGTAACTTTACATAACAATCAATTCTTGTATCTATTCTAATAAATAAAGGTTTTTTTTTTTTTTTTTTTTTTGCCAAATGTCCTATTGTCTTTGATTTGGACACATGACATTTTTTATAATTTTTAGATTTTCTATTTTCCACTTGTTATTTTATTGTATTTTTCATTTTATTAAATTAAAATTTTACATTTAATATGTAAGGTAATATATATATGTAAGGTATTTATTAGAAAATGTTTATATATGTAATGTATTCGATACATTAAAGCCTCATTAATTTTAATAATTCAAAAATTTTCTCATTTTTCTTATAAATTCAAAATTTTTCTTATTATTAAAATTTCATATTTACTTGTTTTAATTAAACTCATGTAATACATGGGTCTCACACCTAGTTTTAATAATGTTTTAATAATATCCTAACTTAGAATCATGAGTTTGTACACATGGCTACACACGTAAAGCAATAACAAGAAAATAACTCTAACCAAAATAGATTTTAATTAATTGAATCAAAACTCAAAGAATACCCATATACATTATTTGATACAGACATTGATTAATTCTCAGTTGAAATGCAAACACTGAATTGCAAAAAGAAAAAGAAAAAAGGAACAAGTTTTAGCTATGTGCAATCTGTGTAAGATTGCAGGGACGAACATGAAGACCTGATGAACGGCTTGAGAAGGGTAATTGGATAAACTTCAAACAAATTGGATGAAGATACGGTCGACTTCTCTCCAAATCTCTCTAGGGAGGAAGATTAGGAGGGAAGATCTTCCTTTATCTTCTCTTCTTTTCTTTCCAAATCCACCAAAAAAAAAAAAAACCTCGGGAACAAGATCATCTCTTCCTTTCCTCCCGTTTTCATTCCGTACATCCGCCGAACAAAACTCGGCCATATAAGTATATAACCTGCAGTTGTCAGCGATTACCTCACTACTATATATACTGCCTGAAAGGATCTTCATCTTCTCCCAATCCGCACACACGAATTGTTGATTCGGTTGACAAATCTAAGAACCGATCGATCATGGGGCACGGTATATTCGGATTTAATTTAGAAAAAAACCCCTAATTTACGATCAACATATAAGGATCGCAATCAAAACACAAAAGCTTGTATGCATGAATGCGATAATTATCTAACTCGTTATGTGTTTGCTCACAGGTGATACAAGTGGGAGACCTAGCAAGAAGCACGAGCCATCAGGCAAGGTTGTTCGCAAAAAGAATTTGTAATTTGTTAATTGTTATTATCACCATTTGATTTTTTATTTTGGGTAGGAGAATTGTTTAACTAAAAAAATCTGAATTCATCATTAATGTCACCGTTTGATTATTCTATTTTCATTGGTTCATTGAAGTTGATGAACTTTTAATCCTACAAAGAAGTTAAATTGCTGTTCATCATTGTCACCGTTTGATTATTCTATTTTCAATTGGTATTTTGGAAGTGTCACTATGTTTGATGAATTGATAACTGAACTAGAGTATCTCATATCAATGAACATTTAGATTATAAGCTTCCCATGAGAAAACAAAGATTTGCTCAAAAGTCAATGAAACCTTTCCTAGAAAGATTGAGTAATCCTAGTCGGCTAATGTATGCGTGTTATAACACATGACAGGAGGACTATAAAGCTGCAGCTTTTGAAGAGGAGGGTGCATATTATGTTGAAGAATTTGGTGAGGATGATCCTTATGGTATTATTTATCTAATTATTATATATTAATAGTGATTCGATATCTTTCATATCTAAATCAATGTTTTCTTGGTTTGTATAAGCAGGTGATGGAGAAGGAAATAAGAGAGATTTTACCAAATTGGAACTTAAAGCAGATCATGTGAATCGGCCATTATGGGCTTGTGCTGATGGCCGGATCTTTCTAGAAACCTTCTCTCCATTGTATAAACAAACTTATGATTTTCTAATTGCAATTGCAGAACCTGTCTGCAGGTAATATATATATATATATATATATATATATATATATATATTATATATATATATATATATATATATATAAAAGTCTGCATCTCAACTATCAGTATATATATAAAATCTGAGATTGATCTTTTCACGTTTGGGGTGTTTGTGCTTATATATAGGCCAGAGTCGATGCATGAGTACAACCTGACTCCACACTCACTTTATGCAGCTGTGTCAGTGGGTCTAGAAACTGAAACCATATTAGCTGTGTTGAACAAGCTTTCAAAGACCAAGCTCCCTAAAGAGATGATTGATTTCATTCATGCTTCAACATCCAATTATGGAAAAGTAAAGCTTGTACTAAAAAAGAATCGTTACCTAGTTGAATCTCCATTCCCAGAGGCAAGACTGCTTATTCTTTTCTTAATCTTTAAACAACAGATTGTATATGGATGGATATTCAAATATTCAATTATTAGTTCAGTTATCTGATTGGTGTTTGCAGGTATTGAAGAGATTATTAAGTGATGAAGTCATATCTCGAGCGAGGATTTCAAACGAGGTTGTAGCTATTATTCTTATTCCTCTTTTTTATGTTGTTTTATATGAGGGATTGATCTTGATTTTGTTTATTCTCACATTCAGGTTGACGATGGGTTTGCTGTTAGTAGATCAGTAGGTGAAGTTGATGGTAGACATGAGGAACTGCTAACAGAAGCACAGCTGGCAGCTGCAGCTGAAGAAAAAGAAGCTCATTCATTTGAAATTGATCCCGCTCAGGTATAGTAGATGATACATTGTATCTGTTTCTGATGAAGTTCATCTTTTTTATATCAATCACTTAAAAAAAAGGTCGAAGAGTAATTTGTAGATTTACTGCATCATTGATTGAAGAAAATTAATTACTTGACAGGTTGAAAATGTAAAGCAGAGGTGCTTGCCAAATGCTTTAAACTATCCCATGTTGGAGGAGTATGATTTTCGCAATGATACTGTTAGTTCTCTCTCATACTTGTATGACAGACATTCTTGATTCATTTAGCTATGTGATTTGTAAACAAACTAACTGTTAATTTTTACCCATACATTCCAACAAACAGTTTTCACAATGTTCATCGTTTTAAACAATATTCATCAGTTTTAACATCAGAGGAGTTGGGTGGGAAAAATAAAAAGGGAAAATAGGTAAACGGTTGGTTTCAGAAGCTTTTTGACTTAACCCATTAAGTTGTTCTTTCTAGATTAAGTAAAAAAGAAACAGTCATGTATAGCTAGCTGTGAAAAGAAACATTCAACCACATAGTCTTTTCTACAATTAATTGATAAGCAAATTGTGCAGATAAATCCGGATATTGAGATGGAATTAAAGCCTCAAGCACAACCACGACCTTATCAAGAGAAGAGTCTTAGTAAGATGTTTGGAAATGGTAATTAGACACTGATTAGAAAAAGTTGTTAATATTTGTATTTTTTTTTGTAACATTTGTTGAGGCTGCAGGAAGAGCAAGGTCTGGGATCATTGTGTTACCTTGTGGTGCTGGAAAGTCTTTAGTGGGGGTTTCTGCAGCCTGCAGGATTAAAAAGAGCTGTCTCTGTTTAGCAACAAATGCTGTTTCTGTTGACCAATGGGCTTTTCAATTCAAGTTATGGTCAAACATTCGTGATGAAAATATATGTCGCTTTACATCGGATAGTAAAGAAAGGATTTGTGGAAATGCTGGAGTTGTTGTCACCACATACAACATGCTTGCTTTTGGTGGTAAAAGATCCCAAGACTCTGAAAAAATCATTGAAGAAATAAGAAATAGAGAATGGGGTTTGCTACTCATGGACGAGGTACATTCACTTTTGAATAAAGTAATAATGACCATTTTACCCTCATATTCCAAAAAAACAAAACAAATTTCAGGTGCACGTGGTACCTGCGCATATGTTTCGTAAAGTTATTAGCATCACTAAATCTCACTGCAAGCTTGGGCTTACTGGTATGCTTCTGAAATACTAAGGATTTAATGTTCTTTTGTCTGAGGTTGGAGTTTTCTATATATATATATATATATATATATATATATATATATATATATATATATATATATATATATATATATATATATATATATATATTTTATTGTTTTGTAGCTACACTTGTTAGAGAGGATGAAAGGATTACGGATTTGAATTTTCTTATTGGTCCGAAATTATACGAGGCAGATTGGTTGGATTTGGTTAAAGGAGGATTCATTGCGAATGTGCAATGTGCTGAAGTGTGGTGTCCAATGACAAAAGAATTTTTTGCTGAATATCTAAAACAGGAAAATTCCAAGAAGAAACAGGTATGTATGATCTTATTAGAATCAAATAGTAATAGTAGTTGATAATTGTGTATGTTATGCAGGCTTTATATGTGATGAACCCTAACAAGTTTAGGGCTTGTGAGTTTCTTATTTGGTTCCATGAGGAACGTGATGATAAGGTTATTGTTTTTGCTGACAATCTTTTTGCACTCACGGAGTATGCAACGAAGCTTCGTAAACCAATGATTTATGGTGCCACAAGGTGCACATATTTTTGACTTTATAAAAAGAAAAAAAAAAGGCAACCTTTTATCTTCGCTTACACATGTTAAATTTAAAAACTTTATATTTGGTGTTCAGCCATATTGAAAGGACAAAGATACTGGATGAATTCAAAACCGGCAAGAAAGTCAACACTGTATTCCTGTCAAAGGTAATCAATGAATGTTAAGTTTGTTTGTTTCATGTGTACCATGTCTTTTAAAATTTTAAAATGCTTGTTTTTGTTTGCTGTAGGTGGGAGATAATTCAATAGATATTCCGGAAGCAAATGTCGTTATTCAAATTTCATCACATGCTGGTTCCAGACGTCAGGAAGCCCAACGTCTTGGCCGTATTCTCAGGGCTAAGGTAATTTTTTTAAAATTAATTAATAATTAATTATTTTAAAATTTGAATTTGTTATTATATTTTGTGGATGTGGAGTGTAGGGTCGTGTGCAGGATAGAATGGCAGGTGGAAAAGAGGAATATAATGCCTTCTTCTACTCCCTAGTATCTACAGATACACAGGTAGGTAATAATATAATATATCATATAGTATTATTGAAGGTCTAAAAAAGATAAACGTATCATGAATTGATGGCTAATTTGTCAAAGACATGAATGATGTAGGAAATGTACTACTCAACTAAGCGGCAGCAATTTTTGATCGATCAAGGTTATAGTTTTAAGGTAATTCATTAGTTAGTGTTTATTCAAAAAAAAAAAAAAAACCCGAGAGATTAATATAATATTTGTGTGGTTGGTTTTGAACAGGTGATAACAAGTCTGCCTCCACCAGACAGTAAGGCAGAGTTGAGCTATGATTGTGTCAAGGACCAAGTTTCTCTTCTTAACAAGGTCTCGACTTAATGCTGAATTTCTGCTGCTGGTATAACTTTGAAGCAAGCATGAGGAGTAGGAGTGTTAGAATACATGCTTATATGACATGATATGTATATGCTATATAGGTGTTAAGTGCTGGGGATGATAAGTTAGGCTTGGAAGATGATACAGATGACATTGCACGACAAAAGCATATGATGGGGTCCATGAGTGCCATGTCAGGAGCTAAAGGAAATATCTATCATGAGTTCAGGTTGGTTTGGTGGCCTATTTAATTATTAATTATTTGGCTTTTTCTTTTTGTGATATATATAAGTGGTGTGTTTGGTTGGTTTGCAGGTGTGGACAAAAGGGAGGTTTTGCAAAGTGCAAGCCTAAGGATCCAGCAATGAGACATCAACTATTTAAGAAACGTTTTGGATGAACAGATCATCACTTGTTTTGTTGTTTTGAATGCAAAATTAAAGCAAAGCCAAATGATTCCATATATGGCCTACAAACAAACATGTTGAGAGAATTGTAAATTTCCAAAACTGTTTCTACATGGGCATCTACTCATCAACAAAAACCTCTTTTTTGCCTGTAAAGAAATATAAGAAACTTTACAACACTTACATTGGTTTTCTTGTGTTGATTTGTTGGCATGGTTCAGTGCCATTTGATCAGAGTACACTGTACTTATTGTATTTGATACAAGTGTACGGTTTTCTGTGCATGTGCCTGTGCCTGTCAAGTCAATCAAAGGTTTTGTATTGTATATATGGGCTTGTTTCAACTTCCAAGTAAAAAAATGACCTCTTAATAACACTTCTGATTTTTTTAAGTCGAGTCTTTTACTATTTTAAGCCACCTTATGATCTAGTAGGCTAGTAGCTAGACCGAATGAAATATGACTATCTATCTATCTATGTGTTTGTGTTTCAAACTGAATGAAATAAATTGAAAAGGGTACTATGAAACATAGTGACACCAAGTTGTTTAATTTTGTCACAACATCATTGGATTGGCAACTCGATATGTACTTACTACTTAGGCAAATCCGAGTTTAGAGTTTAGGCATGTTAGGGACGATATGTTACAAGTGTATGGAACCCAAAGATTACACGGTGTAAAAACACTAATCTTCTCTCACTCTTTCATGTTGAAGAATTTTACCCTACTGATGATACAACATCCGGTTCAAATAAATTGTCTAGAAACAATCTTACCCACCAACAACTAGCTTAGTATTTGGATCCTTGTGTCTTAAGATGTTCTTGAAAATTTAATTGTATTTCACTATTCTTTATTGATTTATTTTATATTTATGATGATTTGGAAAACATATATTTTGTTGATATAGAAATTGATGACTCTGCTAGGCTGAAATTGTTTTTTTTTTTCTTTTGAAGGAGTGGTTAGTAGTTAGAAGTTAGTATCATCAAAGTAATAGGAATCATCCGGATGTATATGATGAAATTCCAATGTTAATTATCCCAACCTTATTGATTTACATCAACATTACTTTTTCTCAATCATTTACATTTTTAGCTTGTTGTTTTAGAGTTATAAACAAACCAACTAACCCCCTTATTTGATTCTCGTTATAAGGATATTTTTATAAAAAATGTAACAAATAAACAAATTGAGTCAATTTTCGAAGATTTGACCCCTTTTGTCACTATTTTATTTGTGTTAGAACATATGGTTATTTATTTGTTGGTTTCGACAACCATCAACTATATATAAACTAAGTTATGTGGCGATTTGTCATGCACTAAAATTTATTGTGAAATTAATAATGCAATATACCTCACAAAGGGTTCGATGTTCAACTAGCAAACATACCACATTGACATACAAGACCATTACCCTAGATTTTTCGTTGTATAATATCAACAGTCAATGGCAGTGAGAAGCAGGAGCGGGTAATGTGTGGAAGTAGATTGGTTGAGATTGATGGTGAGAAAGGAAGCCGATAACTAAGCACATTTTAGCCCCCAAGTCGATGAATAATACCCAGTTGATTAGGAATTGTTCATAAGCCGGGAATAGAATATGTAATATATTCTAACATTATATGTTTTGGAATATTTCATTATAAAATATGTTAAAATTATTGTTTTAAATATTAGAATATTACACATATTTAATTTTTTTATGAATACTAGAATATTATAATATTTCATTAAAAAAAATAGTCTCACGGTTTCACAAAATTAAGCTGTCTCACATGAACCTAACCTTATATTTTTATATATATATATATATATATATATATATATATATATATATATATATATATAGACACACACACACACACACACATAGAGGTTTATGTTCTATGGAAAACAAAAACCCTAAAAATGCATAAAAAATACTTAAAGATCACAAAACTTTTTTTTTTTGACTTTATAAATGAAAAAATCGCAAATTTTTCTTCTAATTCGGTGAAATTTAAAAAAAAAAACCAAAAAAAATTTTCGATTTTTTTTTCAGTGATTTTTTCATATATAAAATCAAAAAAAAAAAAAGTTTTGTGATCTCTAAGTATTTTTTTATGTATTTTTATGATTTTTAGGGTTTTTTTTTTGTTTTTCCATATAATCCTTCCCTACATATGCGCGTGCGCGCGCGCACACACACACACACACACACATATATATATATATATATATAATGTGACTAAGATTAACACAAAAGATAATTCGAGTGCATGTCTTGGAGATAGTATTCAAGGTCATTAACTAAATATTTCTAAATAATAAAAAAATCTTTTTAGGTAATTGGCATCATTATACAATTAGCAATAAGGAAATTAAGAATAATAAGTTATTATATTATTATTATGAATTAATAAATTAATTGGAAATTATTTTGGTAATTAATTAAATATTTTTAATTAATTAAAATGCTAGAATATTAATTGATTCGTAGAGATTTATTTGAATATTTTAGAAACCTTTTGGAAGATGGTAATGATGATTTCTAGGAAACTCCACTGATGAATGTAAAAGACTTGTCTGGATGACAAGTGTTTTGTAAGTAACATGTTTGTTATTCAAAGTGTTTTCGTATCATGTTATTTTCTAAATTTTATGATAAAATAAACATGTTAATAGTGCATTGTAAGTGGGAAGAAGGAAAAAGTATCGTGTTAGTGAACCCCACGTGCGTTGCACGGTGGGGGTAATTTAGTCTTTTCTACATACTAGAAATCTGTCAAAAGCTTCTTCTATACCTGCTTGTTTCATTCTCTCACTTTGTTTTCTCTATCAAATACTCCCGACTATCGAGGTAGATAATGAAGAACATGGAATGTGGATCGCATACTAGCAATAACCTAGGAAAGGCTTTTTATGCATATCCCAACAAGGTAAATTGTAGTTTATTCATCTTGTGATGTTAACCCTAGTTTTCTTAACATTTATTAATTGGGGCAAATAATTGTTGGCCAGGATGCCCGTTCTGGTTTTATAGCTTGGGTTGATGAAATACAGTGCAACAATGAAGGTGTGATCATAAATGAGTTGATTAGGTCGGAGAAAAAGCTTCAATTTGAGGTGTTTAAGTTGAAGGTTGACCTAATATGTAGTTGGGTATTTTTTTTTGGGTTTAATTATGTACAAGTTGTAATTAAGGTCATTTGGATTAAATTATGAACATGTTGTTTAACATGCATGCTTGTGTAATTTGTTAATATTATTTTTCTTATTGTATTACCCTTAAAGTTAATGTCTTAAACGATCTAGTGTCAACTGATGTTACCCTTTAAATTATACAAGGTCCATAACCAACCAACCAACTTATTGGACCACATGTGTTCGGTGATGTTACAAGGACCACATGTTCCCTTGTAACTCAACCAAATTACCCTTGTTTCCTTAAACTATTGACCCCATGTACATTAGGTAAAATGCACCATGCACATTCATTACATAACAAGGAAACAAGTACAAATGTGTCCGAAACAAACAAACAAGTAGCAATTTTTATCAAACATACAAAGTTACTATAAATCCAAACATAACAACCTAGAACAAACCAATTCCAAACATAACAACCAAGTAGGATGAAGTACATGTTGGGTTATGAGCAAAAGAACAATCCTATGGTGCACATGCAAACCCTAATGCTTTGGATCTAGGTTTTTTTAATTGTACATGTAATAATCATCCAAAGCTTGTAAACCCTAAATCTATCATATAGAAATTGAAATCAACATAATTAAACAAGTAAGAATGTTACCTTTCAAATTGTAGCTTGAAGATCCTTGCCTTTGAGAGCTTAGTATCACAAATGTAATACCTCTAATCGATCACAAACACCAAAAACAATTGGAGAATGTTAGAGAGAGAAGAGGAAATCTAATTTTGGCTCTAGGGATTCTTAGGGTTCAATGTAGCCGGAAATTGGATGCAAAGGGGGTCTTTATATAGGTGAGGAATTAGAGTTTCAGTTAAATACCTAATCTGGTTACTTAAGCCCTAAGTAACCCATAGGAATCTTCCAGAATACCTAGTCTTGGACGAAATCTTTATGGGCTTCCATAAGATTTTGTCAACCTCTTATCCAAGAGATCCTCAGCCCATTTTGCAATTATCTAATAATTACAATACCAGTCCCCTTAATTCAATTAACCTCTTTTGACCACAAAATTAATTCTAAATTAATTCTTGACCAATGTTAATTAAATAATATGATTTCTCTTTTAATATATTAATAAATCAAATTTATCTCTTTTCTCCATTATTCATCCAGTCAATTTGCTTTGGTGAAGGCAACCCAAAAGGACCATACTACAATCGGGTCAAGTACATAGCAAATATAGGTATGGGCTTAGACACCTAATCCAACAGTACAAACACAACAAGTATAAGGAAGACATATCCTAATCATTAAGGTCCGATGGTTTTGCACTAGTATCTCCTTTCCCATCCTCTCCCTTAACCCTCTTAGCAAGTTTCATCCTGATAATTCTTTCCGATTTCTTTCTTTACACTTACCCAATGATTTTTCTCCATTTTGTGTTTAAGGCAATGATTTTGATCCACTACTTCCTGCACCAACTTCTTTTGATCCTTTACCATTTTCAGCAACTGATGTTTTCTTTTTCACATTTAGTTTTGACCGCCTTTTAACTTGAGTTTTTTGCACTTGAGGTATTTCAGCTTGAGGACATGTTAGCTTGTTATGTCCTACTTGTTTATAAACACTGCATGCTATTTTTTCCCCTTCCTTAGACACAACGTGTCTTGGAAGCTTTTCTGATGCATTTCTTCTTCTGTTTACCTTTGGCCTACCTGATATTCTTCTCTTCAATGGTGTAAGAGGTGGTATGAATTCAGTAGGTGGCCACATGTTGCTACCATTCATCTCATGTATTTGGTAATTGTAAGTGTTCTTGTAAAAAGCACCATAGAACATTGGATCCACATATGTGCCAACATCTCTATTCCGATATGATATTGTAACAACTAAATGAACACAACCATACCCATTAAGTTGCTACACTCTACAACTACAAGTCTTCTTG